CTGAAACAGGGTTGCTAACGGGTTATCAGCAGGGAATGTTACTGCAAGGGCCTCCGACGTTACGTGAACAGCCCTTTTGAATCCGCGCGGTTCCAAGGCGGATCTTCGTGTACCATCTTGGCTCACGGAGGCACGTGGCCAGAACGACTGAGCTCTGAAGAGTTCCCTGGAGCATAAGGGGCCTAGACCTGCAAACTCTGGACTCAAGTAACTCAAGTAACAGTAAGAAGAGACGCGGCGCTCGTTCGGCGGTTTGCGGGTCAGGCTGAGGCCGGCTGGGCCGGGCCCTGGTTGGGCCCTTCACGCGCTCATCCTGTGAAGGTGATCGCCCCTACCCTAAACTCTAAACACTCTCTACCTATAGTAGTCAAACTTTAGTGGCGTTTATGGCCTTAAGACCCTTTTCGGCCTCTAACTCCGAAGTTTAGGGCTAAACTCCGAAGTTTAGGCCTAAACCCTGGGGCCTCCAAAATTCTGAAATTCAAGGCCGAAATTCCTATGTTAATGCTTTTTCGAATGTCTGTTTTAGATTGGCTGGGGGCGGATTTCCTGGGTTCCCCCTTTTCCAAGATGTGGCCCCCACTAAACACTAAACGCCCAAACTGAGAAGTTTAGGGCTAAACTTCGAAACCCAGTTTAGGGCTAAACTTCGAAACCCCTAAACGTTTATACCTAAACTTCGCCTAAACTTCGAGATCTACGGGCTTAAACTTGGGAGTTTAGCCAAGTTCAGGGGCCTAAAATTCGAAGTTTAGGCTTAAACTTCGAAGTTTAGGCCCCTCAACCTCGAAGTTGAGGCGTAAACTTTTAGGCCTAAACTTCGAAGTTTAGGCCGGTGTTTCGGCATAAACTTTGAAGTTCAAGCCTCAGCCGGCCTGAACACTGAGGTTTGTCAAAGTTTTAATAAGAACTCGATTTGATGGTTCTGGGGTGGGGTGGGGAAACGCCAAAGCTTTTTGTGTTTAGACAGCTTCAATTGAGAAGTTTGATCTTGGCGACTAGTTAGTGGTTGGAGTGGAATGTCATAGTCTGACGGCAGAGAAATGCAGGGGCTGTGTTTTCACATGAAAGCTTCTAAGGTTTAGCTGGCACAGTTACTTGCTTCGTTTAGAAGAAACTCAACTCTGGAAGACTACCGACGGTGACCAACGGACGTTTGCGGGTTTAGCTTGTGCAGCCACGTGCTCTGTTTATTACAAAGTCACTTGTGAAGGACCACGAACGGTGACGAACATACCACGATTTTAGGGTTTAGCTTGTAAGAAAGTCAATTGCGGAAGGCTACCGACGGTGATTAACGGGCGCCACTTTTAGGGTTTAGCTAGCACAGCTACTTGCTTGGTTTATGACAAAGTCACTGTGGAAGACTGCAGCCGGCGATTAACGGACAGCACTTTGTGGGTCTAGTTGGCACAGCCACGTTTTCGTTTATGACAAAGTCAATTGTGGAAGAAATCCGACGGTGATTAACAAGAGCCTCTTTCAAGGTTTAGCTGGCACAGTTACTTGCTTCGTTTAGACGAAAGTCAATTCTGGAAGACCTAACGGACGCCACTTTTCGGGTTTGGCTGGTGCAGCCTCGCGCTCCGACGGTGATTAACGGACGCCACTTTTAGGGTTTAGCTGGCATAGTTACTTGCTTCGTGTATGACAAAGTCAATTGTGGAAGACTACCGACGGTGACCAACGGACGTCATTTTTCGGGTTTTGTCCTTGTAACAAAGTCAATTGTGGAAACCCGCCGACGGTGACTAACAGAGGCCACTTCCAGGGTTTAACTTGCACTATTGCTTGGTTCGTTTATGACAAAATCAATTGTAGAAGGCCACGAACGGTGACCAACAGAGGCAACTTTTCGGGTTTAGCTTGCGAAGTTAAATGCTTGGTTTATAACGACAAATTGTGGATAGCTGCTTGCTTCGTGTATAACGGAAGCGGTGGTTGAGGTGGTGTCTGTCGTTGCCTGTCCTGTTACACTGCCGTTGTTGTGATTCCGAGTGAGTCAGAGGTATCAGGACATTGTATATGTGATGTCCACGAAGCGACAGCGTTAACGATATCTCGTATGTTCTGTATTAGATAGCTTTATATAGAATGCCGATGACCAACAGAGGCCACTTTTGGGTTTAGCTTGCACAGATACTTGGTTCGTTTATAACACGCCAGTTGTAGAAGGCCACAAACGGTGAACAACAAAAGCAACTTTTCGGGGTTAGCTTGTATAGCTGCTTACTTCGTTTATGAATTGGTCGTCACTTGCTTGTCTGGCTATTAAAGAAGTCAGTTGTGGAAGACTACCGACGGTGACGACTATATGACGATTTTAGAGTTTTGCTTGGACAGGAACTTCTGTTGTCATAGACTCAAGGTTTAACTTGGACAGGGTAGCATTTGTTTAAGCTTAAATGAGCTGTGTGGGAAATATGAAACCTTGTATTTTCTTAATGAGATGGGATTCTTTAGGCGGGTGGGTTTTTTTCGATATCCGAGATGGCTTGCTCGACTAGAAACTGCTGTCTCCGGAGCTGCTGAACCCTCAACTCAAAACCCTAAACCCTAAACCATTTCGGGCTTGCGGTGAACTTCTTGCCGTCTCCGCGCGTCCTCGTCCCAGCCCTCCCGGGCTTACACAGAGTTCGAATCACTTCAGTCCCCAAACTAGTGGCAAGCTCTCTACCCAACAGCCGAAGCTACTTCTTCCAGGCCGAGACTTCACATGTCTCAGGCTGAAGTCTGAAGCCCTCGAATCTTTTTCGACCTCAAACTTCAAGAGCTTTTCTGGAAGGCCCGCAGAGTGGAAAATCCTATGCCCTCTCCGGACTCTTCACGCCCGCTCCCGAGTGTGAACATTTTCTTGGAGGGAGGGTTGAGCTTGTAAAGGGTTCAAGTTTTCGGTTCGGATTAATTTCTAGACCTCAGGTCTTCAAGCTTCGGGCATCAAAGACGGACTAGGACTTGCAGCAGGTATTTTGTGCTTGGATGGAGGAGTCTCGGGGAGAAGTTGACATAGATTGCTCTTCCTTTGGCACGTGCTAGTCCGATCGACGGCGACTGCGACTGCGAGGAGCGTGCAGTTGCCGCTGTTGCTGCTTGCTGGTACATGCAATTGTACTTTACGAGTACAAGAGCGAAACCTGGCACCAGTACTGGTGTGAGATGAACCTGCCAGCCCGGCCCGCCCTACCCTGCCCGCCGTGGACACCCTCGTTCGCCATCGCCATCCCCATCCTCATCGATCATGCTCATCCTTAGCATCATCGTCATCAAGAGCAGCATTCGTCAGGGACAGCATCCTGATCCTTATCCTCATTCTGATGCTGATCCTGATCCTGATCCCCGCCTCACCCTCACCCTCAAGCTCGACCCCCAGCCCGATCTCAACCTCTCGCCCTTAGCCTCACCCTCCTCCTCCTCCTCCTCGACCCCCACGACCTCAACCTCACCCTCTGTCTCTCGCCCTGAGCCGCCTCCTCCTCCTCCTCCTCCTGCTCATCTTCTTCTTCTTCCTCCTCCTCCTCCTCATCATCCTCATGTCCTCGGCCTTCTCCTCATCATCACCCTCATCCTCCTCAGCAACATCATCATCATTATCATCATCATCATCATCATCATCATCATCATGCCCATCTTCATCATCACCAACAGCATCATTTCATCATCATCGCCATCACCCCCACCCTGACCATCATCATCATGTTCACCGTCATCATGCTCATCATCATTGTCATCACCATCATCATGAGCATCACCGCCATGATCATAGCGTCATCGTATTTTTGTTCCTAATCATCTTCATCCTCCTCGCCACCATGTTCATCATCATCATCCTCACCATGGTCTTCATGTTCACCATGATCTTCCTGAGCATCATCAACATCACCAGCATGATCATCAACATCATATTAATTTGGTTCTGCGTCATCTTCATCCTCGGCATCTCCTTCCGTCGTCATCCTCGTCATGATCTTCATGTTCATCAGGATCTTCATTATCATAATCAACATCACGGCCATCTTGACATTGTGAACATCATGATCATCACTGTCATCATGTGCTGCACCATCCTCATCCTCATTTTCATCGTCATCGACATCGTAGCCTTTACCTTTATCAGCCTCGTCAACAGCATCCGTCACCATCACCTTGTTAGCCCGTTTCATCATCTTCACCATCATCTTTTTATCATCTTCAGCAAAATTGCGTTATCATCACAATCAGGTTCATCAAAGCAAGCCCTGAGATGCTTTGTACGACGATTCTGATCTGCCATGGCTCGTTCCCGAGACACATCTCAAATCTGTGTTTCGTATCATGTTGACATGTTGCGACATGTTTGTTTCGTATGCATCGTTGTCAACGTTGTAGTATCTTCTCATTGCTGATTAAGGTCGGGTGAGCTCCATGGCATTGCTCCACGTGCAATCCAAAGCATCACGGAGGCCGTTCTGCATCTATTCCAAACGGCGGTCCCCGCTCATGTTTGTTTTCGCAGCGTGAGGGTTGACCATTGCGTGCTGATGGAAAAGGGTTCACTCACTCATCTCCGCAAGTCTCCGAGCCGGACCCTGGAAGCTTGGAAGCAACAGCCACAGGCCTCAATTTTCCTTTTCCTTGTTTCCACACCGAAGATTTCAATGGAACTCTGCAAGATCTTCGCATAGGATGACTCTTTGCCCTAACGGGCCAGTTTCTGATGATCCAGCAGGTATGCCTAAGTGCTCTGCTTCTAGGCATGCTGCCATGCTTGCCATGTCGAAAGGTGATTCTGTGGCACTTAAACAGCTACGGGCTGTCTGTCACTTGTTCAACGCGGGCTGTTGATGAGCTGGTCGGCCAAGCACACCTTGGGCCGAATATCTAGCCGTGGGTCTAAACGGACATTGAGGCTTTCAGTCGACATAAGATCTTCTTCACTTTGAACTGCGAAACCTTTCAGACACCATCTTTCAACTTTGGGCAACCTGAACTTCCTAAGAGCACTCGATTTGGAAGCCCGACAAATGGGGCACACGCCGACCAGGAGATGGAACGAATGGGAGACCTTGCTCCGACTGCTGACCCCTCAGCAGACCTACCACGGTTCAGAGGAACAGGTCTGGTTCAGCACTCCTGATCGAAAGGCACAAAGAAGCTTGGGGATCATTTCGCCATTGGAGCTTCGTGCAACGCCTACTTACCTTGAAGAACGCCTGCCCTCTTCACAATCCAATCCAAACTTTATGTTGGTACATTTGTGGTAACACATTCAAGTGTCTCTTTAGGTAGAGGCATCCTTCTTCGAGCTGCAGCAGGACGCCAGAACAGAGCACAGGGTGGCAAGAGTTTGGGTGATCACATCGGTTTCCTATATTTGTAGTCAGTACTGGTAGTAGCAGTAGTGGCAGTTGTAGCTGTAGAAGCAGTAGTAGCTGGTCGTTCTAGTAGTCGTACTGGTAGGGTAGATCACCCTCGTTTGCCCCGCTTCCTCTGTCGCTCAGTTTTGCATCCATGCTGCCAACCCATCCATTGGCCAGTGTATCCATGCCCAAACCATGATAACGTCCATGCTACCAACCCATCCATTGGCCAGTGCATCCATGCCCAAACCATGATGAAGTACCGGTCCATCTGTTGGCCAGTGCATCCATGCCCAAGCCAGAATCTACCAACCCATCCATTGGCCAGTGCATCCATGCCCAAGCCATGATAGCATCCATGCTGCCAACCCATCCATTGGCCAGTGTATCCATGCTCAAACCGTGATAACGTCCATGCTACCAACCCATCCATTGGCCAGTACATCCATGCCCAATCCATTGGCAAGTGCATCCATGCTGAAACCATGTATCAACACAGGCTTTTGCGAAGAAACATGGTTTTGTTTTGCAGGTTTTGCTGTGCATATCATCAGAACGGTAACGCCACGTTGAACAATGCTAACATGCGAAAGGATTCGGCCCTGCCATGCGTGTCCAACATTGTTCGAAGCCGGGATGAAAGAACACATTGTGCAGGACCTGGCCTTAAGCCTCCATCCCGTCCTGCCGTTGTACTTCCCTGTCAAAATCAAGGAATTTGGCCGTGCAAAAACATCGAGTTTGTTGCGTTCTTTTGCTCCGCATATCATCATAATGGGGACGCCATGTTCAACGATGCTAACATGCGAAAGTATGAGCGCTGCCATGCCTTTTGCACTTTGTTCGAAGACAAACTGGGGCAAACGACAGTGAACCACCGTAGTAGTAGTAGTAGTAGTAGTAGTAGTAGTAGTAGTAGTGGTTGTAGTAGTAGTTGTAGTAGTAGTAGTAGTAGTAGTAGTAGTAGGTGTTGGTACGAGAATTGGTACGGGTACTACTGCCAGCATCGGTAGGAGGAGGGTAGCAGGGGTAGCAAGAGTAGTAGAGTAGCAGAGTAGCACGAGTCGGAGTCGAAGCTTCAGCCGGCATCAGAGTCGGAGTGGTCGGTCGTAAGTGGTGAGAGCAAGTATGGGACCTTTCATGCCTTATCCCGACAGTCAGGATGCAGCTTGCGACCTGCTGCAGAGTGGTGCACCCCGAGTGGCCTGGACATTCTGCTTCGGGGCGCTTTAGGGTTGTTTGTTGTGTTTAGGTGTTTGAGGCCTGTTGGGAAGGATGTTGGGTTGTTGGGTTTTCTGACCTGCTGCCCTTTTTAGGGGTGAAAGACGGGACTGCAGGGCATACAACTGAAACCTGGTCGTTTATTGTTTTTGTGCTTGAAGGACTGCAGTATGATTCTGAGAATGCATTGGGTTTACAGGACCAGAGTTTTAGCCCATCTGCTAACTTCGCTGGAAATCTCAGACTCTAACCTCACAGTGCGCATGGCCTGAACCTGAAGACTCAGCGCACCCCTAAATTCATTGTTTACCTCTTGCGGGCATCTGTCTCTGTGTGTGTTACTGAACAGTAGCATTGAGTCTATGATTGTGTTTGTGCAGTGAATGTCAATTTTCGTGACCAAAGACCTGGGGTTGGCTAGATTGGAATATCGATCTCGATGCTACTTGCTAGTTTATCTGTGGATGTTGCCTTCGTTGGAGCTTGGAGATTTCGGATGTGCATAGTTCCATTCATTGTGCGAGCAGATCGGGACCGCGCTCTGCTAAACCCGCTAAACCCGACAAAGCCCATAAACCCGCTAAACCCGATTAGCCCGACAAACGCGATAATCCCGATAAACTCTATACATTTTTACAAACCCGATAAACTCGAGACACTCAGTTCTGATTTTGAAACCAGGGGCGCCAAGGCTCCTCCACCCTCGGAGTCTAAAGTCTGTAAGAGTTCTGACTATAAATCGTTCAATGTCAACATGGATAGAGACTCTTGTATGCAGTGGATGTAAGGTTGCATGTGTACATGAAAGTTCACTTCTTGTTTACACGTAGCTGTGAAGTCTATGGCGGATCTGCAGCTTGGCTCAGCCGGGTGCAGGGTTGACGTCGGAAGATATGTCTGCCAAGGTTATGTTGCGGGAGGCATCCTCCTTTCCCTACGTAGCCGCTTGGTTTGCCGAGGCAGTTTTTGTTTTAGACGTAGGTCTCAGCACCATACAAACCCCGCAGCACATTGACCACATCCAGAATGATACATGAGTTCATGTTTGCGAGCGTTCTTTCTGGACCGGCTAGCTGAGGTGACGATAGTAAGCCCTTTGCCGATCACTCCTTTTCATCTTTGGGAAATGACGGCAACCCCGCTTCAGATTTGAGTTTGACGGCCTAGGTGCATGAAGTGAGTTCTACAACCGAAGCTTATCGAACAGCACAATTCCATGCAGTTGACTGGGTTTCCTTTAATTGAGCTCACGGCTTGTGGATGCCTTTCCTGTTGAACCGGACTTCGCTTGATGAGTTTGTAGTCCAGAATTGCTGGGTCCAGTGTTGAGGCATCTTGGAGTTTTTTGAGCAGGGGTTCCGGGGAAAGCACATGTTGGAAGCTCTTGGCTGAACTCGAGATTGAATGTGACTGCTGTGACTGCATGACTGAGGTACTGGATCAGTCACTGTTTACGATGAGGCATGGCATAGCAGGGTGGAACTAATAGTGAGGGATTCAGCCACGGCCAGCTGGTGGTTGCACGTTTCACGCATGTCGTTGATTTTCACATGCAAGGATATTTGATCATCAGAATCCAATTGCCCAAGTTACGCGTGCTTGGCTTCACAACATGGTCTCACCAGATCCTCGTCCTTGAAAGCTGTGCGGAAATCGTGAGCCGGCAGCGCAGTCATCCATAAACCGCACGAGGAGTGGGACAGCTGTTCTAGAAGCGGGATTGATGCCTCAGGCAAACTTATCCGTTCCGACAGTAAGCCCTGCTTCTCGTCGACCTGAATGTTGAGAGGAAATCTTAGAGTTGCTTCTGGAGCACCAGGTCAACTGGCTGTTTTTCAACATTCATCCCCCTTTGCGGACCGCCTGAGCGAAGGTGTGATGGTGTAACAGGCTTCAACCGCCTTCTGGATGCCTATTTCACAGGCATGCTTGCGGCTTGCGGGGCTCATGGTTGATTATTGGGTGTTGGGGCGTGTGGGAAAGCGTAGACGGCCAACATGGTTTTGTCGAGCTAGGGAAGTTCTCAAGCCCGGAGCCCTGGATCTCAAACTTGGCCTAGCCATCCGGTTCGGTTAGATATGCGCCAGCTGGAAGGCCCCTCACCTGCATCTTGGCAAACTTGATACAGAAAGTCAAGTTCCGGACTTGTTTCTCCACGACGGACTAGCATCCCGGAAACCGGAAGGCACCTCCCGGATTCAACTCCGAAAAGACCCCTCCATTGTTGCCCCTAAGCTGCGGGCCTTTGGATTTAGCCTTGAGGTTGTCGAAGATGCCATAGCCGATAGCCATTAAGAAGAAGATGATGTAAACGGAGTAGGGGCACTTGCAGAAATGCCGTGCATCTGTTTCGTTGGCCAAACAGCCTTGAACCCAGCCATATTTTGGTATGCATTGACCCTGAAGCCCTGCGTATTCTTTAGGTTTGTTTCGAACCTCCGACCTGCAATTTCGAAAGCCCGAAGAATGATGGCAAAGAGGCCTCGAGCATCGGAAACGCGGAAGCCACAGCTGCTTTCAGGCACGTGCCGTCCCCCCTCATCTCTGCAGCACAGGGGATTGAAGCGCACAATGGGGTCTACATTGTCTACATGATTAGTGATACTGTCTTCGAAAAACGACAGATGGCTTCTAGCGCAGGCAACGAACAGATTGCTGGAATCCTCGGCTCTAGCAGTAGAAGCTGTTACTAGCACCAAGTCCCTCTTCAGAAGTCCCTGTCAAGGGAGGGCCTCACGTTTCGGGGCTTAGAGACAGGTAATCAATCATCAAAATTTGCCTTTGCGGGACAATTCACCTGAGGTTTCGGCCTTGGCAGCACTGCTTCCAGTGCTTCCCTCTGTTGATACTGAGGCGGTAAGGAACTTTGGCGACCGTCAGACATTTGCTTGATCTGAAGTCTTGCTGTCGCAAAGAGGAGGTTTGGCAGACATCCAGGACACGGAAAAGTTTGGGTAATCATCAAACATAACAATCTAGGAGAGGTTAGCCGGTAGCAATTTGGCTAGACGAAGTCCGAGATGCTGAGAACGGTAGGAGCCCGTTCCGCTGCAGTCGAGTCTGAGATTGCGGGTAAGTCTCCACGCGCAGGCATGTCCCGCACCTTAAGTCAAGCCTACCTTCACAACATCAGCTAGGGCTTTCAATAGACGCTGTGCATGTGGCTCACTTCACGCAATGCACTGCCTGCTGAATTGTGTACGATCAACACTTCGGGTAATACTTGCAACCGTGACTTCGCTGCAGATCACAGTGTTGTGGCCCAGCACCTCGTAGCCTACGTTCGTAGCATCTTCATCCCGGCTAGAAAATTGCTTGCGCGGTTGGCCGTATATGGTCGATTCGTACAGGGTTCATTTGCCATCCTGTGCCACCCCCTTGCCCTCAACGCAGCGCCATGATTTGGGTCTGCGCCCCTTGCCGGACAGGCTCCGCTTTTCGTTGTTTTGGTTTTGGTCGCATGTTGTGCTACATAGCTCAATGCACCCCATTCCTTTAAGTCTGGGGCTCTGGGTAGCTTCATTTTCGCATTGTTGGTTTTGTGTGCAATAGTCAAAGGTGCGGGTCAGTGGAAATAGTGTTGCCCCCACCCTCATTGCCACATCCGGTAAACCACTGGTACGTGTCGAGTTCCTCGCGCAAGGTCCTAAACTCCAAGGTGCGGTCACTTTTGTTGAATTTTGCCCTCGGGGTGGACATGGAAGATACTCGTGCGGGCCAGACCTTCAGTTTTGCTGGGCCAGTAATTCCATTCGCTGCAGAGCAGCGATTAGATATCACCACCTTGCTCCGCCGCTATGATACTGCTTTTGGCTCTAAAGCCTTCAAACCTCGAGAATCTCCAGAGCAGGAGCCGAACATCCTTTCAGAGCTATGGTCTATGCGCTCAAATCTACCACTCGAGCCCTCAGTTAATCCATCCTTGTACCAGCCGAACTGCTATGGCTGCAACTCCTTCAGCAGTCTCTAGGGACTTTGTATGTCTAAGAGCCGAAATGCGGCAGGTGACTGTCCTGCTGTGCGCACAAGCTGGAGCGAAGCTTTTCGGGTTTCGGGATTGGGATTGGGAAGAAGTGGGAAGCTGGTCCAGGGTACCTGAACAGGGAATTTCAAGTTCGGAGCTTGCGCCAGCTTTGTCGGGATTTAGAATTTTGACTGTGCTGGTTGCGGTAAACCTTATACCTCGTGGTTGAGCATGCTTGGTGATGGGTCCTGCGTGGTGGGTTGGCCTTTGAATTTTGGGCAATGTGCTGCAACCACTGCGTTACTTCCCTGTTCAGGGCAAAAGACTCCAAGAGCGGGCTTCTCTTCCAGCTTCGAGCTCTCGTCCCAATTCTGGGTTGAGAAGTTTGAGAATGCCCTGTGCCTTTGTGGTATGTTCTTTGAAAGTGTGTCTGTGTATGTGAGAATGTCAGAGAGAATTGGAGTGTGGCCTTAATGCATCTCATCTGCGACTGTCGGCTCGAGCTGTCGGCCCGACCCACATATGCGAGGGATCTATGGAGTAGAAACATGCACTTCTGAGTGTTTGCAGACTTAGCTCGGTCTGTTCAGTCTCGGTTGATTTCCACTCTCAATCGCCCCTGAGCTGCTCTTGCGCTGTTCTTCTACTGCTTCACAAGCAAGGTGCCTCGATTGGAATTTCTCTACAGCTTCTGTCAGAGCAGCCTGCGAGGTTGCAGAATAACTCGTCGTATGCGCTGAGTGTTGGATGTCAGGCATGTGCCGGGGCAGAGCGCACTTGCTGAGCCGAGCATTCTTGTCATTTGTGCAGACATGGTTCGAGGGACTTCTGTTGTTTCTGCATTGGGCTCTTCGGCCCTTCCCCCTTCGCCAAGTGTGAGGCAAGAGGCTCGTGTGTCCATGTCAAGATCTTAGGCCAGACTTAGGATCGCTGGGGTTGGAGATTAGGTCTGGGCTGAGGTTCAGGATTCTCGGTCTCTCAGGATTGAGGCACACCAGCTTCCCAGAACTTAATGATCGTCCCAGGCAAGCCAGAATGAAGCAATTTCCCAGAGATCCTTGGGCAAGAGAAGGGGGGATTAGGATTTGGGCATCGCGTGCCCGAGATCTAGGGGGTCTCGACGCAGATGTTCCGGAGTTCGGCCTTTGGGAGTGTTCAGATGTGAGTGCATTCTTTCCTGTGTGAATTTATCTTCGCGTTTTTGACGTCAATTTTGTTATTGTTCTTCGTGCCTGGGTGTGGGGGGGATCCGTTGGATGTTTCCATGTTCCGAGTGCATGCGCGTTTGGGTCAATCAGGTCAATCCGCTCGTGTCTTGGGAGGATCCGGTTGTCAGGTTTGCTCGGATTCCAAGGGAACTTGCCCCGGGGGTTTGGGATGTGTGGATACCGGACACACGCACAGAGTAAGGAATACAGGAATGGGAGCTTCATGCCGCAGCCGGGATCTTGTTTTCTTGTTTGGGGCTGCACTTGGGGCGCTTTAACCAAGGATATGTTACTTTCTGGGGGCTTCTGATGCTGTCACATCGAAAGACGAGCACCAGCACACCCTCACAGTCATTGCTTATTCGCACTTAAGCTCAATTTGGTCGGCACAGGCGCAGTGGATCCCCCAACCTTTGCGTGTCCATCCGCTTGTGTCTTGTTCTGCAGACGGAAAAACTACGAATCAGAGGCCAGAGGGTCTAATCAGAGACCGAAAACGCCGAGTCCGAGACCTGAGGGCACGAATCACAGACCAGCACAGCCGAATCAGAGACCAGTCTCCGGAATCAGGCCGCCTAGAATCAAAGTCCATGGAAGGTCGAATCAAAGACCAGGGGGGGTTGAATCAGAGACCGGAGGGGTCGACTCGGAAACGGGACGCCGCAAGGCAGACAGACAGACAGAGAGAGACAGACAGACAGACAGACAGGCAGGCAGGCAGGCAGGCAGGCAGACAGACAGACAGACAGACAGACAGACAGAGCCTCAAGACCGTGCCGACAGCATTCTGTCACGAGGGTGTGCCATCGTGGCAGAATATATTGGTCCAGTGGGTTGGGTTGGTTCGCGAACTGGTGCGGTTGCCTGGCTGCTTGGGTTGCTCGGGTTACAGGGTCACGGCGGGATTATCTGAATTATCTGAGTTCCTGAGGGCTCGAGACAACGATGCACAACTCGCAAGATCAAGGGCTCAGTAGCAGCTATACGTGTGAATGGGAGAGCCCGAAGCAGGACCAGGCTGTTGCTGTCACACTGTCTACTTGACAACCCAAGGCCTTGCGATCCTCTGCGCTCGGGGGCCTGCGGCGCATGCCGTGCCTGGGTCCTGTGCATTTCGTTGCACGGTTTCGAGTTCTGGGTAGCCACGGTGACAATCACAGGGTTAAAAACATTGGTCATTGACGATGAGACTTTCCAATGAAGCAGTGATGCCGAAGGTGTGAATAAGGCAGCTTGAATTCAAAATCTTGCAATGCAAAGTATCAGCTCTTCGAACCCGACCTGTCTTGCAGAACCAACAGCAGAGCCGTTGACGTTTCGGTTGTGAGATTAACGATGTCGTGTTGGGAGCGGCTGCCGCCTGCCGATCCTCAAGCAGTAGCCATGAAACGTTAAAGGGCAGGGGATTGAGGGTACTCGTAGAGTTTTGGGAGTTGTCAAGTCTCCTTCAGGTCTCCCGTGGTCTCCTCGTGGTCTCCTGGTTGTCATGGTCGTTATGGTCGTGGTGGTGTTCTTTCATTGTTCGGAGCTCTACGATGGCTTTGGGCACTCCGACTTTAAATTGTTGCAAGTCCAGAAACTGGCAAGTGCGTTCGGCCGTTTTACTCGGTGGTGCGAAGCTCTGTGGCTGACAAGTTCCGGGGGAACTGTGGGAAGTTCAAACTTGTACCGTCTTCATGTACGGTTCCACGTTGAATCATTATCCGTGCTCTGTTATTCAAGGATCTGCAACTGCCGCATGAATTCTACAATGGGAGCTGACACCGTGCGAATGCCAGGCCGGGTCTTTTGCTCCTCAAAAGCGGCCTGAGGTACCGAAGCCTCGAAGCCTTAAGACGAAGTGCATAACATCCAACCTCCAGTGCTAGAGACGATGTGTGCCAGCGAGCCCTCTTTCGCTGTCGACTTTACCTCCCCGCTGGACTCGACGAGGCTTTCCGATGGCAGACAACGTCAGGCACTCCGTGGGTCGTGAAAGGCTGCGCTGCAGCATGTTCAACTCTTCATTGCTGTGCACTTTGAGCCTAAAGCTGTCGCGATCATTTAGGCCATACCCCAAGCATATTTGGAAGGCATTAACGAACACGCCCAACTCAGTAGCACCGTGCAGCCTCAAGTCTCTAGCTCCGCATCTGCCCACCACTTTACGCCCAAACGTTTGCACCAGAGCCCGAAGGATGGAGTCTCTCGCGCGTACGCCGACAGCATGTGAAGAGGGGCCAGGCACCTTCTCAGTGGCTTCGGGGTGGGTGGTCTCTGGCTTCGGGAGACATGGAACCATAGGTGCATAAGCAGACAGGTGTGAGGCTCCTTTTTTGAGCCTCCATAATAGGCCAATGTTGCGGGGCCATTTGCCGGCCAGGCCCGGCCCGCCCGTTCGGCCTCGTGGCCCGGGCCCCGCGGCCCGGTCGGCGCGGCCCCCGCATCTGTTTCCGATCACAACATGTCTTTTGTTTGGCGATTCCGATTCATCACATATCTTACACGTGCCCTTTCATTTGGCGATGATCACATATGTGAAGCACGCCCCCTCCTTAGACGATTCCGGTTGATCACATTTCTTAAGCCCTTCCTCTCTTTTGGCGATCCCGGGTGATCACATGTCCGAAACCCGCCCTTGCTTTGGCGATCCCGCTTCACCACCTTTGTTACACGTGCCCCCTCGTTTGGCGATCCTGCTGACGATCCGAGTTCATCGCATTTCTTGAACGTTCCCCCTCTTTTGGCGATCTCGGTCAATCACATCACATGTCTCTAGCCCGCCCCTCCTTTGGCGATTCTGACTCTTTGCATTTGCTAAACTTGCCCCCTCCTTTGGCGATCCCGCTTCATGTCACATCTTAGCCCCTCTCTCTTTTTTTTGCTATCCCGCTTGATCACTTTTCTTAAGCCTCATTTGCCGATCACGGTTGATGACATGTCTTGAACCCGCCCCTCGTTTGGTCGCATTTCTGAAAAGCACCCCCTCATTATCAGATGTCTTAAAACTGCCCCCTGATCTGGCGATCCCGGTTCATCATATTTCTTCAACGTGCCCCCGAATTCGACGCTTTCGCTTCCGATTGATTACATATCGCAATTTCAACCCGCCTCCTCCTCCTCCTCCTGATATTTCCGATTTATCACATATCTTAAACGCACCCCCTCCTTTGGCCAACGCGGTTGATCGCGTGTCTTAAGCCCGGCCCTCATTTGGCGATCCCGGTTGATCCACTGTCTTAAACCGACCCCTCGTTTGGCGACTCTGCTGACTTCTGGACTCTCGGGCCTCAGCGGCTTTGCGTCAAGGATCCCCTCAAAAGATTGAGAGCTCCTTTCCGGTGACTGTCTCCTTGGCTGTCGGGGAAACAACCATGCATGTGAATGATGGGGGCACTTTTCTTGTGCTTGGTTGTGAGATCTCCTGGACGGATCGTGGTGTTCACATTCGCCACCACTCCTTAGGCATTCTGCCTGTAAGGCTCAGGGATGTCTTGAATCTTAAACGTTCCCCCTCATCTCGCGATCATGCTTGAGCACATTTATTTGACCCGCCCCCTCCTTTGGCGAACCTGGTTGATAATACATGAAAATCCCGCCCATTTAGCGATCCCGGCTGGTTGCAATTCTTAAGCCCCTCATTTGGCGATCCAGGTTGATCACATATCTCAAACCCTTGCCCTCTTTCGGCGATCTGGGTTCAATGTCGCCTTTTGATTTGGCGACTCGGGTTTATCACGTTTCTTAAATCCGCCCCTTCATTTCGCGGTTCCGTTTTATCACATATCTTACTCGCCCCCGCATTTTGCAATCCCGGTTGACCACATATCTTAAACCTGCCACCTCCTTTGGCGATTCCGGTTGATCGCCTCTTTTAGCGATTCTGCTCGCGATGCTAGCTCATCACATTTCTTAAACATGCCCCTTCGTTTTGCGATTACGGTTGATCACATATTTTAAACCCGCCTTCTCGGGCGATTCCAATTCCAACTTCACATTTCTTAAACCCGCCCCTCTTTTCACGGGACGTGGCTTGCAGTCGCGACCCGGGCGGCCCGCGCGCCCCGCGGCCCCTGCCTGCGCCTCTGCGCAAAAATCAGCCTGTACCCCGAGCTTCATGAAGTGGTGAATGCCTCCCCGAATTCATGGTCCATGCTTTGTTAACGGTTGATGTTAAGTGGGCCTTGGGATGAGCTCGGAGGTGTTACTTTCCAGGGTCGTGCTCAAGCGTATCAGGATTCAATTTTCATGATGGGGCCTCAAGTTTCGTTTTGTTTCTAACCGCATATGCATGATGTCCATCTCCCGCAGAGTCTTGACCCTTCACCTTGCCTAAAGCAATCTTCAGTCAACTTCCAAGCTTTCCGACCCTGAAGCCTGAAGCCGACACCCAATGCATCAGACATGCCCCAAGCTTCTGCGCAGACTTCGACTTCTCCCGACATGTGCATCTGTCTGCCCTCGACCTCGCCTCTCGGAGAGCAAGAAGAGACTTTTTTTGGCAAGACAAGGTGAAATTTCCAGCCTGTGGTTCGAAAACAGCTAGGACAGCTAGGGGCTTGCATTCGTGTTTGCTGCGTGCCTTCCTGCACTGATGAAACTGGGGACATCTGGGGACTGAGGAGCCGGTAGTAACAGTCCCAACCCCCCAAACCCTGCGAGAAGCTTCGTCGAGGATGGGATCCGCGTGCGCAAGCTGTCAGAGATGGGCTACAAGGCTTTTGGAGACGAAGGGGAAAGCAGTAGCACCTCAGACGACTGAAGGGTTGGGTGATGGAAAGCTTTGATCTTTGAGGGTTTTCGGCGGAGCAAGTCTTTAAACCAACATCCTTGGTGCCCAGTTGAGGGCCGACGGTTCGATGACCGCACATATCCAGCCCGCTGACGCAGGGAAATGCATCATATTTCGTGGTTGCGGTGCTGTGTTGTTTCAATTCTTACTTGAACTTTAAGTTTGTTGTTTCGGCTGTTTCGTTTGGAGGACCCGGATCGGGGCATAAGTCTGGGGAGCCACGATCAATGCATGGATTCTTCGCCTTGAGAGGTGGCGCCGGGTGAGATTGACTTCGGCTACTCTGAGCCCTTTCGATTGCTTTCCGAGGAAGTTCACGGTGCAAGCGCGAGCCTTGAAAGGCCTAGGCGGCTGGTCCAGGAGTAGGCTAAGTCGGTGGCAGTCAGCAGTCCACAAAGCTGATTTCAGCATGCTTGTTTCGAAGTTGTCCAACTCTGCAGGAGGGTCTCCGGTTATATCGGGAAGCGATCCTGTCGAAGCCTGTGCTGGAGAACTGCTGTCCGGCTGCACCTCGATCCCTGGTCGAATACCCAGCCACGCTTGTGCGGCCCAAGCTTGCTTGCCGGTTTAGTGTTCTTTGGGCTTGATTAGATCGGTTTCTCTCTTTCGTTGTCAAGCGCCGCGCTACCCCCATGTGCCCGCCAGATATTGCAATCCAAGCCGCACTCGTCTGATTCACAGCCAGCTAACTGCAACTGCTGCACACCTCTTCAGGCTACTACTCTTGCCCCATGGTGCCTCTGACCATCCGCAACATGGCTGCCCACAACAAATTCATCCGACGCTCGTACCTGTCTTGCGGGAGTCGGGCTTTCCAAGCTTTTTGCATGGGCAAGCAAGGGCAGGGAAAGCACGGTGTTTTGTTTGAGTGCTGACCACCTCAAATGGGTTTCACGGCTTTATGACTGAGGGTGAAAAGGGTCTGCCTGGCCATTCCGGATTAGTGTTCTAGTCTTGGCGTATGTCGGCCCTGCGGTTGCTGCGATTCGCAGCGTTTTGTTTTTCAGTCCTCTCGACTTGTCAGCTTCTCTGCTGTCCACAGGCAGCCTCGCTCAAGATTGGGAGTCTGTTGCATCCCAGAACATCCAGTGGGCCCTCGAAAAACATCAATATCAACCACTCTAACTCGAAGAGCCATGTATGTTGCTAACTAACTTAACTCTCCCAGAGCTTTCAGATTCGACCTTTGCAAGCGCAAAAGCAATGCCAGCTTTGAGATCAAGAATCACAGTTTCACAGCTCGTCCGCCCCTGTCTCCGGAATTCCCTACCAGTAGCACGGGAGTGCCCAGGACAGATGAGCACTTCCGAGGCCATGCTACTAGCTTGCTCCAGCATGGTTGGTTGCGATCTTGCGTAGCTCGGCCAGTATTTCAATTAGTGATGGCATTCGAGTTCAGCTTTGGTCTCATCACCCTATACAACTCATGGTGAGTCCTGAACACGACCTGCCCTGAACTGTCCTGTCGGCTCTGGGTGACGGGTTCATAAAAACGCTGTCTGGTTCCAAGTCAAAACCAAGAGGCTGAAGAGAAGATGATTGCTGCGACAGATGTTGAAGCAACCACACCGTAGATCCGGCCCAAATCCCAGCAGTGTGATCCAGATTTACCAAAAAATCCACAAAACCAAGCCTCTCACAGCGACCGTATTTCGACCGTGAATCGTGAAGGCCTCAGCCTGATATCCGAATCTTATGCAAGGTGGCACCCCTTCAGGGTGGAACACATGATGACCAATATCCAGATGAAAGGGAAGGAGGCAGCGAGTGACTGGGATTGTGGGCAGGTGGCGGTTTAGCGACGCTTTGACAAAGTTTCGGCAGGCCGCGAAGGTGTTCGATTGGCATCACGACTCCAACAGCTTCGTCCTGCTTGTCAATCTCTCCGAAATCCCAGAGGCTGGGAAGATTCCCTACCCGTAGCCTGGGTTTCTCCACTTGAGATTTCTTTGCCGGTCGTTCGTATTGTGGCTTCCAGGGTGGGATATAAGGATCTATAAGACTTAATTCTAATTGGACATTCATACAAATGACTGGTGGTGTTGCGCCTGTTGCAGAATTGCGAGCATTTTCCCATGTCGGATTCCACGCCCTCTATCTCCACACACAGCGGTGTTTCTTGCGCATTTAGACATCTCCGAGCCCAAGGACGGCCGGGGTGGCGGCACATTGATGCAGGACCGAGCATTCCAGAGTCGTTGGATGCGGAGTTGTGCACAAGCCAAAATACCTGCCAGAGATTGGTGAGCTATGCCAGCAACAGTGTTTTGTTGAACTGCCAGACATCGCACTGTCCGAGCTCCCCAACCACTGCGGAAAGCGCCCGGCATGCTGTGGAACACAAGACATCGGGCTGTTTGCATGCCCCAATTGCTTAGGGCTTTGGGGGTCGGGGTTGAGTCGTTCGGGAACTTTGACTCCTTGTGTCCAGCCTGGACATCAGGAAGCAAGCGGCGCTGCGCATGAGGTCCGGGCACCGGGCCCTGGCTGGGCCTACATCATGCAGGGCAAGCGGGTGCCATGGCTCCGAGCACCGCTGCTGCTAGAATGCTATCCTTCCAACCCCCTTCTCCAGTCAGAGCGTGGGGCTTGCTACTTCTGATAGGCAAACAGCTGCAGATGTAGATTTAGAATGTTGCATTGGTGGAGATCAGCCCTTTCAAGACCTCGAATAGATGGACTAGATTGGCCCATGGATGCGCTTGGTTTACAGCTGTAGGGATTTAGGTGTACATACCATTTGCCCAGGCTCGGGCTTTGAGAGAAGTTTGGGTCCTTTGCAGGCGGACATGGCGGCATGTCCTACTGTCCTGCGGTCCTACACGCATCATTGGTCCAATCCCATTGTTTGAGCTGAGGTGCTGCACGCTGCGATGCTTGGTAGCATGCAGCTGAAGAGTGCTGAGTGAACCTGACGTGAAGTCCTTCAGCAAGCAAAGGCAGAATCGAAGCTGTAAAGATTCGGACCCTTGATTTAAATTCTGCACTCAGCTTCAACCTTAGGCCCTACATAGGCCCTGAGTCTGCAGGTTGCACTGCGGCAGAAGTGATTAGGGTGTTTTGATGTTTTGGGTCTGAAGTTCAGAAGGTAGGCATCTCAACTGTTAGGTACAATTAGGAGCTTTTTTCGGATTTCTGCTATCCACTTTGTGCGTTCTACTGCTTTTTGTTTCGCTTTTCTGTTTTTTGCAGCTTTTTGCCGTCGGCTGAGGTGGCTTTTCGTTTTTGATTACTTTGTCGCTTTCTGCTGGCCCTTGCTTTCCGCCTTAATGCCGTCAGCTGCGCTTGAACTCTTTGCATTGTGTTTGTGTTTGCGAGAGTCCGCCCTCCAACTCCCCTCCGCTTTCCTTGGAAACTTCTTGCCTGCGACAGGAGAAAGGAGCTGCCGTGAGTGGAGCTGCATCCTCTCCAACCCCCCAACACNNCCCCCCCCCCCCCCCCCTCCGAACCCCCCCGACCCCCTCGCCCCGTACACCCTGCAAGCCATTTAAGACATGCGATCCTTGACCGCGATTGCCAAATTAAGGGGTGAGCTCTCAAGAGATGTCATCAACCTGCTTAACCGAGAATGCGCAACATGCCACAGTGGGAGCTGCTAGGCAACAGGAAACAATTCAAACAACCTCATACAAGTTTGAAACACGAGTCAAATCAAGTCAATTCTCGAACCACTGCTTCATGAAGTCGTCTGTAGGGATTAAACTGTTTCTTGCAGTGCTTGTGTGCCGAGATGGCGTGACATTCAGGTCTTCTTAAAATGAATGCGAGCTCAGGAATGCCAGTGAGAACTGGACACGCATCGTCTCCGTGATCTCGTTTTGCAGCAAAGATACGTTGGCAGCGGAGAGCCTCGAAGAGGCACAGGCTACCAAACCCCGCACCCCAAAGCCAGTGGAAACGAACATTATCTCACAACACCAAGCTACCAAGCTGTTTCGATAACCTTGACTTATCATTGTAGCCGTAACCCTTCCCTGCCACCATTCCTAGCCTCATTGCTAAGCCCGTGCAGCTGCACACCTTCACAGGCAGAGCGGAGGCCGGTAAAGCTTTAGGACGACCTGTACTAAGCTTCAGGCTTTCAAGGCTTTCCTCACCTGAGCTTCGTTTCAGGACACGGTGGATCTTCACTTGGCACGTAACTACACTGCCACCTGTCGGCACCATGTATTTGTTTTGAGCACTGAAGCAGGGTCTTCCCAACCCAAGATGCGCGAGCTGCGTTCGCCTAGGTCTAACTTGCAATCATTTCTATCTTGCCAACCCTCGACTTCCTCAACTCTTGCCCTTTTCTTCGGAAGATTCCCTGAAGTGGCAGAGCCTGGAACCCAGTCGCGGCATTTGAACTTTGCTGTTCGCGTTTGCTGAGGATCACGCTGTCCTCGACAAGGACTGGCTTCAAGAGATTAGCTGATCGACCTTTATTGGTTGAAGCGCATTTGCCAAGGCTCACAGGTGGCATCTCATCGGGCTCTAGATTGAAAGTATGGTACATGATGGTCTCCAAGGATATATCGTGCCATCTGCACCCTATCTGGTCATAAGTAGTGTGTTCGGGACGGACTACTGTGAGCACCGATCCCTCTGCCACCTGGTAGTAGGAGTACGCAGCCTACCGACTCAGCCGCAGCATGGAGAAGCTTTGTTTCTTGCCGCTTAGGCTTGACATCGATGGGTGCTACTATCCGGCTGCGCGTAGTGAGTCCTATTGACGAACCAATGGCTAATCCGTCTTGAATTCCAAAGAGCGTGCTGGTTGCAGTGGGTTGGAGCCACTGCGAAACTTCCTTAATGCGTGTTCACAGGGCCATTTACATCAGGCTGGTGATCTGCAGTTCGGCTTCTGGGTTTAAGCAGTTCTGGCAGACCTCATAATGTCATACGGCACGACCTGAAAACCCAAAGCCCAATTCTGAAGTTGCACGCCAAAGTAAGCCTGAACACACCCTCGCCATTTCTGGAACTAAGCCTCAAGTTTTGATCCGTCTAAAGCACACATTTGTTGAGCCTCCGGGTTTGCTTGAAGACGAGAGTTTGGAGCCAATCGTTTGTGAGGTTGAGACTTCATGCTTTGGGCTTTGGGGTTCGAGGATGGGCAAAAACTGAGCACTCTTCCAGGGCGAGGCTGCTACTCCAAACCCTACAAAATACCGGCATGAAGCACGAAACCGTTGGGACCACAGACGTGAAAGCCTTAAAGCAAAAGCCGGTTCGCAGAGATTTGTTCAATCATGTTTCAAAAGGTACCATGCACAGAGCTGGAAATTCACACAGTCAACAATCTCAGCTCAGGAGAGACAGACGCTCGAAGCAAGTGTCTTCGGGCTGTGCTTGGGAGATACCATGTGCTTGAAGGCGCTGGTGTAGAAAGTATAGTTCATTCCGTGGGAAGGGCTACTTTCGAAGACGTCGGTAACCAAGGGCCCACTACCGATGCTGTCCCAAGGTTGCTTTAATTGGTCAGGCTTGGGGTCGATCGCAGATCTTGCTACTCACCTGTTCACATTGTTATGGTCTGGCAAAGCACCACAGTCGATGCCCGAGCCTAACCGGCAGCAGACCTCACAGGTGTCACATATGAGAAGCACGGTCACACGAAGAGCATCTATCTTACACGGCGGTCCACATTCCCAAAGTCCAAGGGTTGAGGCCGCCCAAAGCTCGAAGCTGACGTAGTTCACAAAGAGCTGTTGATGCTCTACAGCGGAAATGGTAGCCCAGGATTCCTAGATGAGGAAGCCAACAACTTCTCAAGCGACTGGGCTGAAATCAACTAATTGGGCTCAGTCAGGGCTCCACCCGGGTGTAAATAGCCAGTTATATCGAGTGCGAGTTTGTCGCTGTTCTTGAGGGTTCTGCTCGGTTGCAGTGTGGGCGCGAGACCGCAACGTCTTAGCCTGAATCAACACCTGAAGTTCCTTGCAAACTTTCCTTTTGGTTTGGATTTTTTGGTTTGTCTTGCGTACTCGAAAGACCGGGACCTGTGAAGCAAGTTTTGGATGCCCGTCCTGGGAAGTTTGCAAAAATTGCAGGAGTTGGTGAGCAGTATCTTCATCATCGTCATCATCTCGACCATCAGTTACACTGACACTCCTCTCCACCCCAACCACCATCAGCACCAGCATCGCTGTGGTTACAGGTCTGGTGCGGCGAGAAGATTTTGTGAGGCCTGGGGCGCAGACAGTGATTCGGCCTTAGACCCCAAGGCTCTCTCAGCTCAGCGGATACTCGCACAGCTCGCATCCCTTTAAGAGTTTGGATTGGCGAAATTTGGGAAGGCACTTTCGCATTCGGCCTTCTTCCTGGGCCGGAAACAGCCTACACCACAAGATCTGCCTCCGATCGTCGCAAGCAAGCTCGCTTTACCCCTCTCGAAATCAAAAGGATTTGCCCCGGACTTAGCATAGCTCCTAACCTGTGGCTATGCAAGTCCAGACTTCTGGAGATATTTGCAGGACTGCAGAGCCCCTCATCTGCCCCAAGTTTTTGTCGAAGACCTAAGCGAAGCCCCCCTCCATCCCCAAACACTGAACCTCAAAACCTCCAACCTAAACAACAAACAGCCGCCGAGCGCTCAAACCCCGATCAGGCACCTCGAGCACCTGATCCGCAACCTTCAGATCACCTCAAGCCCTTCGGCACTGGACTGGTCGGCCCGTTGGGAGGGCTTTGGAGCGGCAGGGCTGTGGCTTTGTTTAAGTTTAAGGCTCCAACGGCCTGTTCATTCTGGCTGCGAACACCTCCAGCGCATCGGTAGTTACGGTGTTCCGTGGCCTTCATGGCCGAAACCTTGCGCTTGCCGCTGCTTTCGGGGGGAGGATCGGGGGTACACACGTGGGGAAATCGAACACATCGGCATTTGCTTTCGCAGGGCATCCGTGCCCGAACCGTGATAACGTCCACTCGGACTCCATCCTTTTCACGGAGCAGATGATAGATAGCCGTTTTGGCGACCTAACGCCTTCGACGGGAGCATGGCTACATGACCGTGCTCAACGCCTTGTCCCTGTACAGAAGGGACCAGGTGCATGAGCTGGTTGTTTAAGGACTTTGGGGTTGGGCTGCCGGGCTGTGGAGTTTTTTGAGCCCATGACATCTTGAGCTTGTGAACTTGTGCTCGTACCTTTGACCTTCTGGGCGAATGGGATGGATTGTGGACAGACCAGGCTTCGGACATTAATTGTGTGAAGACTTACGATGTTATGCAAAGGTTGTGTTTTGGTTTTGCTGTGTTCCTATTCGGGGCTCTTCAATTTTCATGGTATGTTTCTTGGTGCCTCGAGGCTTGCACACCAGGAGGTGTTCTTGTAGAACACGTATATAAGCCTCACATTGTGCTCTGCCCACGGCCACATCTATATCGTGAAACAGCAAGATGCAGACGGCTGTGTCTGCGAGGCCCATAAAAAGCATCTGCATTCATTGACCTTCGCGAGTTAATGCCATTGCGCGACCTTGCAAATGCAGGGCCTCCAAGATCAAACGCGAAAGAGTAGACTGGCCATGGATAGTTTGCCCCACATCCCCAACGTCATGCAGATCTCCAAAACCCTAAAACTCGGCAGCATCAGAGGCATTTGCTTGACACGTTTTCGACCTGCAACTACAGAAGATCTGAGGCTCACTACAGATGCTCACGGACTGGGGGCAGCCACGTCCTCGGCCACTGCCGGTGGACGAGGCAGGTGAATTACATGAGCCAAAACAATTGTCATTTGCATTAATTTTAGCGTGCCTGGTCGTCTTGGTGATAGAATAAGTATGTGGTCCCGGACCGCATACGAACAGCTCTGGCTTTTGCGATTGGTATACCCGTGACGATCCGCGCCTCCGTTTTGTCCAGCTGTTGCATCAGGCCAGTATAGTCTATAGTGCACCGCCTGTTTGACTGTCTTGCGGCACAGTAGTCTCATGGAAGGTTGAAGTCCAGTAGGACAGCTTTGGCGCTAAGCCGCTCTTGATCCCATGGCACTGTGATTGACGAGCCGACTGCTCAGTTGGAAGGCATCGTGCAAGGCTGACATTTCGGGGCTCTTTGCACAGGTTAAGGCTGCTGTGGGACAAAGGGCTCAGGGCCTTGAGATCGTTGATCTCAGCAACGGAGGATTTAGTGGCCTGGATGAGGGACAGCAAGTCATGCGTTAATTGACCTGCAGCCCAGAAGCCTGGGAAGCAAATGGCAACCAACATTCGCCCGGAAGCTTTCATGCAGGTCCCGGTGACCGAGATCGCATCTGCCTACAATTTTTGCAAGCATGGCTGTTGACAACAATGCCGAGTTTGCTACTGTGATGGTTATGTATACTCGGTGCAGCCTCTTCATGGTCATGATGGTTCAGGTAATTCAAAGTGTTTTTGTGGATGACACCATTGAACATGCTTATGACTCCTATCGTCAGCATAAGCTATCCTCACCCACGCACTGCAGCCTCACAACCCAAGTCCCAGCCCCTCCTTACTGCGCCATTCGTGAAGTCACGGTCCCATCACGCGCAGACAGATGTTGCCCAGCTGTAGTGAGAGACTGAGAAGGCATCCCGAAGTCCAAGCTTCCGAGGCCCATCATTAGTAGGCCCCTCATGCATCTTGAACCTACAGTAGCAGACCCGTGGGTGTTTCTTTTTTTTGCTGCAGCGGCACTACAAGCCCAAGAAGCCACGCAGCAGCAAGTCCGGCTCAGGGGATCCCGGCGAGGGCCGCCACGAATGCATGCACCTCATACATCATACGTCTAAGGTCAACAGGGAAAGATCACAGCGTGCTATGTGTACGCTCAAGCATTGAGAGTGAGTTTCCGAAACTAAACGACCTTCACATCGAAGCCAGAAGTTAGGATCCTTTTTGCAATCACCCGTGAGTGCGGGACCCCTGCTTTTCCAATCCCCAAGTAATAATACATACCTACGGCAGCCGGCAGCGTTGCAAACTAAACCAGTGGCAGGACCTGTGATTTTACCAAAGCTCCACATTTCATGCGTCCCGCAGGCTCTGTTCGCTGGCCCCTCTTTTTTGGATCCCCTCCTTGCATTTTTTGCCTGGCTTTCCACAAAAGGCCTTGCCTAGCCGTTGCTGCCCGCACTTGACTTGCTTAGCTGAAGCTCAACTAGGGATTGGGGTTAGGCATTGCTTCTGGGGCCTGTAGACAGATTGTGGTTTGCTGAGTTTGGGCAGGTTACGGTGTCTAAGCATGGAGATTTTGATGCAGCGGTAGCGCGGGCAGCTCCTGAAGTGTTTGCTCTTCTCTCCTGCATGACGTGCTTCTCGCAACCCTTCGCCGTCAGCCTGTGTGTTAGGAATTTGTAACCTGGCGACCTGGAACGTCTGCCTGAACTGCAAGCGGACACATAAGAGACTGGGGCTGTTGACTTTTCTCATCCCAAGTCTAGATCGTGCTTCATCCAAATTTGCCAGTTGCTATTTCTTGGTGAGCAAATCTGCTCTCAGACCATAGTTAGTTTGCAATTCCTTTTTGACTTCTATCAGCCGCCAGGCAAATGCCGATTGAAGCATTTCTGGGAATGTCACATGACTGGCGCATGAGCGTGTGGAGAAAACAGGAGCTACATCTTGAAGCTTTGGCCCTCGAAAGCATATGCCATGCACATGCAAGCTTCTTTCAATCCTTTCACCCGAACAATTGATACTGGACTTCAAATCGCATTCAACGAGCATCCTCGCTCCCGAGGTCTAGTTAAAGGCTATAGCGGCTATAGCTGTAGCCCTTCCCGAACCGCGTATCCAAATACTTGAAAACAGACCCAACCATTGCCAACCATAGTCTCGTGAAGCCCTAACCGCGAAGCTTTCAATTCCAACCGCTTCTATCCCAAATGCACTTTGGCCCACTGGCACGGATCTTTTTTTCAACATGCTGACTGATCCCTCTGTGCTGCGACGCTGAAGGACCTTTCCCCGGTTGACTTACCAGGCAGGCTTGCCGCAGGGGAGGGTGTGGCCAGCCGCTGAGAGGCAGTGCCAATTCCTAATGCCAGCACGAGTTTGGAACGTTCAAATTTCGAGGGGCCTAGCAAATCTGCACCCGCAATGCTAAGCCAAGAATCTAAACTGCAAATGTCGAAATATTCAGGAAATCTCGCTATCTATGGTTTTCAAATCACGTCTTGGCTGGCTTCACCTTGTCGTCCCGTCCTGAGCACGCTGTTGGAGAAGCCCAGACGGCAGCTAAAGTAAATGCGTCGCCACCCAGGTTGCATGTGGTACAGGCATGCATGTGGTACCTCTACATTGAAGGCGATGTTTTCCAACGCGCTGCTCGCGGATAATTATTCGAACCCCAGAACAACACCAACTTGCCGTGGTTGTGCTGCTCTTATCGTCTTTCTAGTCTTTTGCTTGCGCGCGGCTCCACGCTATTTAGATGGGTCAGGGCATGTCACATGCCCTCGAAATACCCTTAGTGATCCTTTTTGCCAGCACCTAGTACCCATGTCCAATATTGAAAACTAGAAGCCCGACGGGATTGAGTCAAACTTATCACAGACTGACCCTGGTCTAAGATCCTATTGCCTCGTGCAAGATGCATGCTGCAAACAACTGTTGCAATGCTTCGTAGAGTATTAGTCAAGGCTCACCAAGAATGATTCAACCGTCAGCTGTGTCCTCTCAGCGCTGCAGGGCAAAGAGTTTCAGAAGTTCTTATTGAAGATACTTGACGCGCATGGTCTGCGGTTCAGTGTCCCCCAAAGGGAATTGCTCGACTTCATCGTTTGCCCGGCTACCCGCTATCCAGAAGGAGATTCTGAGACTTTCAGAGCCAGAGCAGATGGCCCAAGCTAGATTCTCGGATGCGTCTTTGAACATGTGCTGGTGGAAGGTTTGCCGTGATGGTCCGACTCCGTCCAAGACCATCCCACAATTCCAAAACCTGCGCCAGCGATTCGTGAAACCAATTTGATCATGTAGTTCCGGAAATGGCTACCTGCCACGATTCCTCGCCTGTGGTCCAGTTGCACAACATAGGCTACTTGTGGGATCTTGATTGAGGCTTCGGCTGTCGCAGACTTTTTGGGGGGATGAACTCCGTCTGTCAAAGAAAGCCCGGCAGGTTGCTGAGATGCCAAGTCGGCGCCAAGGCGCATTAGCAACACCACAGAAAGCGCACGGAAGATATTGCACCTCGGACTTGTCTCCATGCGGTGAAATGGCATGGATAGACAGAAAGAGGGGTCGGCCAATTGCAGAGATTCCGACATAACGAGTCCAGCAGATTCTTTGGTCCGCTGGACATGTGGCACAGCCGCGCTGTTCTGATCAGTACCTGATGTGGCTGTTGTATGCATATGAAGTCTCAGGGAGAGTCAGCAAACACAGCAACATAACCTCACCACTCCAAAAGTTGACCCAGCAGCTAGGAACTTCCACTTAACCCTCACACTTGCCACCCTGAACGGTGCACACCAACTTCGTGGTCCTTGGAGCCGCAACCCTAAACCGTCACACTCAAGCCGAGAGCGCGCATTCAGCGCACCGGAACTCGAGAGGTACCAAAGCCACGAGATATGAGCTTAAAGTGACTTAAGGCACTGTGTTACGAATCCCGAGCATGAAGAGCTCGCCACAGCCCGCACCCGTCTAACTATTCTGCCCTCGACCTTGAAACGTAAAATCACACACACCCTCAAGCCATGACCCTTCGATGGGGGCTGCTCCTTCTTCTGGCCTTGGGGCGAAGCGATTGCCCCAGCAATGACAAGGTCCGCCTTACGGCCGCTGACTGGGCGAGACCTAGTTTCTTACGTCCCACTCTGGGTGGCTTCTCCATGAGAAGGAAGTGGTATAGACGTCGCATAAGTCTTTGGATGCGGAGAAACTTGATGACGTGACAGGTTCTGGCTTTGAGATTTTCAAGCTATGAGATGGGTGTACCGTGTCTCTCAGAGCCCCAAGCTGCTTGCCCAAACTGTTCAGCTCTGCCCTCAGAGCATGTGGTAGCGTGGTGCTACTCTTGGTCTTGTATGGTAGCAAGGTGGCTTGGAGATGAGCTGTGCGGTGCTCTAGGGACGTCTATTGCAAGTTCTTATAGGATAGTTGCACGGGCATTTCCAGGGGATTTTGAGGAGAAGTCCCCACTGGCAACAGGTGGGTAGATGCCGTTCGCTGCTGCTGCTGGTGGTGTTTGTTCTTGTCAATCTTGGTTTTCAGAAGCCCGATTGGGCAATGCCGTTTCAGTGCCGTACAAATTTGCAATGATCCGCTCACGAGCGCAGGCGGACTTCGATTCCTGCCAGACGGATATCCTCTTAGGCGGCCGGCGCCCCAGGAATCTTGCAAGAGCCTGCAAGAAGTGGCTGAAATGTCGAAGCCGGTCAAATCCCTGCGGGCCTTAAAGGTTCACAGTCCGAAGCTCTGCCATCAACAGCAGGATACAGGGTTTTGAGTTCACCTGCACATTGATGCAAAAGTTTGGAACGGATTTGTTGAATATCCTGTCCGTCAGATCGAGACCGGTGGCACATTCAGACATATTCAGGAGGTCTTCAGTTCTCCCACATTGTTCGTGTGTGGGTGTGTGTGGTTGCGTGGTTTCTCATTTTGCTGCATGTCCGTGGATGTCTGTGGCGTTTGAGTTGGCCAGGTTCCCTCCGCGACGACACGCCCAGGACGGTAGCACCCACGCAGCTTGAACAAAATGTGCTTATCGGACATCCGCCTCGGCATCGTCGAAATTCTGAACCCCAAAGCCTTGTCTTAGAGTCTTTCGAGTTTGGGGCCTGGCCTAGCGCTGCGGCCATAGATTCTTTAGCCCCGAAGATTTCGGCTAAGATTTTCAAGCCGCACCATCACCATTGCTTCATCATGTGTACAGTACCAGTCCCTGCAACAACAGTTCTTTTGGTTGCCGGAGATACAGTTGCTACTACTGACACCTACTACCTATTACTACCGACTACCTACCACCTACCACCTACTAGCTACCATCTACTACCTGCTACATGCGACTTGCGACGTGCTACCTGCTACCTGCTACCAACTACCTACCACCATACCACTACCACTACCCACTACCACTACC